AGAAAATAATCTCTAAATCATTGCATAGAAAGGCTTGATAAAAAAAACAAAAAGAAGTGTTCATCTAACAGAATATATCAAATAGTAATTAGAAATTAGCAGATATAAATTCAAAAAGTAGTTATTACTATCTTACTCAAACTTAATAATAACACTTTAACTAATCAAAGTAAACGATTATCGTTTTCTTAGATTATGTGTTGCTTCCGAAGGATCTTCATTTAAATGACTGTATGATTATTCTTATCGATATGAATTGTTTTCAAGAGAAGTAATATTGTCATCAATGAGAAGTCATCATTATCTGAACAATCAAAAATCTTATCAGATATTTAGTTTATATTGAAGTTTAATTTAATCATAAACTTTTTTTGAATTAATTTTATTGAAAAAATCTGTTAAATATGTTATTTCACCTTATAGCCAATTAAATAAAATTTTCCTCGTCTTTTTATATATATCACTCGATAGAGAGCACGAAATTTTCATCAGAGCTATATTATTTTTAAATAGATTATTTGATGCTTTAGGCAAAAGAAAACAAATGACTAGGAAAGCATGAAAAACGAGTTTTCATCAGGAATTTTCAAGTATTTTGTTACTTATATTTCAGTTATTTTTTCAAAGAACTTTTATTTCTAATTCAGCATTAAAATCCAAATTAAAAAATTTTTAATTAAATGAATTTAAAATGGAAGTGTTGTCCAACATGCATCTATCGAATAAGATCGCTCAAGCACATTTTTGTGATATCCATAGACATTTTTATAATCGTTTCTAGTTTTTTCTATTTTGAGATAGAACCAACTGTCATGTCTTATTAGCATCGCTAGATATTATCTTTCAAACGTCCCCTATTAGTTTTTTCTAGAACTTATTTTATCGTTCAGTAAATTACGTTCTTTCGATTTTTTCCTCCTAACATATTAATATCGTGAAAAAATCTGCAGATATTTACTTAATTTTGCCTTTGTTTTTTCGTGATATAAAAAAAACATATAAATTATTCAGAATCACCGTAAAAATCTATAACGATTGATATATTTTTTAATAAAAACTATTTTCCATTAAAATCATCTCTCTATGGGACCTCAGTAAAAATTTTCAAAAAATTATATTCAAGAGGAGGTACAAGCAAAATATCATAAGAATGTTTTCTTTGTTAAAAGATATGCAATTCATTGTAGTTTTTTATATTGACTCCGAATATTTTCTCTGCTTTTTTTATATCGCGGAAGAGTAAAAGTAAAATTGAATAAACATATGCATAGTTTTTGACAATTTTACTATATAAGAAGAAAAAGATGGAAAGAACGCAATTTTTTCAACAATTAAACAAAATCTAGAAAAACTAATACAGTACGCTTGAAGGTCAATATCTAACTACTCTAATGAGATATGACATTTGGTTCTATCTCTCAATACAGAACACTAGAAAGGCTTACAAAACTATCGACGGATGTAACAAAAATGTGTTTGACTGATCTTATTCGACAGAACCATGTTGAACGGTACATCCATTTTATACTCATTTAATTAACATCTTTTAATTCGGGTTTTAATGCTAAATTAGAAAATAGTCTTTTGAAAAAAATACTGAAATGTAAGTAACAACATACTTGAAAGTTTGTGAGGAAAATTTTTTTTTAGCAGTTTTGATACCTTTCTAATCTTTTGTTTTTTTTTTTTTGTCTAAAACATGAACTAATCGATTTATAAATAATATATTTCTAACTAAAATTTCGTGTTCTATCGAATGGTATATATAAAGGAGCAAGAAAAACACTTACTCAATTTTCGCATTATGCGCACTTTACAATAATACCATGAAAAGCGCTATTTTTTCTCTCAACAAGTTCAGTTTTTCAAAATCTTCACTAATCTTCTTGGATGGAAACAATAACTAATCCAACAATTTTCTTAAATATTTATTGATGTAGATGATTGAAGAGTTTAAAAATAAGTAATCAGTGTAATTTCATATACAGTTGCTTGTTATGTTCGTCATATCTCAAGTTGCAAGTTTATTCGAGATGAGATACAACATCTGACTTTGTTGTTATCCATAGATTGTAGTTATTTTTATATGGACATTGACAAAAACATTACCTCGTAAACATTTCCTTCATGCCTATTTTGTGAGACATATGGCATGATTATGTCTTCTTATTTTCTACTAAAATATGTCAAATTTTCTATGACAACAAAAGTGTGTATAAATATTTTTTCTTTGTTAAATATGATTAGATTAAATTTTTAATTTATAATTCAGTTCAAGAAAGCCTAAGAAGATCTGTTCAAATCAGAGAGAAATTAAAAAGTTATTTGTCGTTTTATACTGCAAGCTTTATTTATTACATACGTGTCACCTGATCAATTTGATAGTAATAATCCTTGTTTATGTCACGACTGTCATTTTCTTTTTTCCTTCATGAAGAAATATTCTTAATTTTAGGAAAGAGGAAATTAGTTCGTTATTATTTCTATATTATACTAAGATTAGATTGTGTATTGATAGTTGCTTGTTCTTTTTACTTTTATTTATTGTTATATTTTATAAAAACATGTGCCTCACATAAGTAAGCACAATCGAACATCCATCATGTGTATGGACGCGCAAATATATACATCATTCGTTGATTTGTATATGTAAGAAAAAACGAGAAGAAAAAGAATATGAAGAAAAAATCCGATCATATACACACAACACACATACAAATACAATTGGCTTTGTTAACCAAACAAAAAGAACGGAATAGAAGAGAAAAGCTATATAGAAAGCGACTTCTTGTTATGGTATGCAGTGGATGATGCTTCTTCACTATTCACAAACCGATAAAACAATAGATAGAAAATGAGAAAGAAAGAAAAAAGAAGGAAAGAAAAAAAATCATATTTCATATATTTGATTGTTTCATCGTCATCCTCATCTTTCTCATTGTCGTCTACCCCCTGTTCTCATAACACGCTGATCACACGAATCCAATCGAGACACACAAAGCAAGAGAAGAAGAAAAAAAAAGGATGTATCATCGTTGTTATTAAACAAAAGAAAAGAGCTATTACTAGTGATCAGTCAGTCGAACCGAACATATACACATCATATAGAAAGAAAAGAAGAAAAAAAATCGAAAGGTCTATCTGAATCAGTCAACAACAGTATATGAGACTCTTCTCACTTGCATCGTTCAACTAATCTCTTCTTTTTTTCACGATTACGTGCAAACAGCAGCAATTCTTCGTTAGTTTTATTGTGAACAAGGAATCTTTACATTGAAATAATCGTATTTTCGATATGTATATATACGTGCTCTTGTCGTTCAAACTCACGCAACCAATATGTTGTTAATTGTAAGTTCACATTTGTAAGACTCATGGAAGAAAAAAAAAAAAAAAAAGAAAAGAAAAGCATTTTATATTGTAATCGAGAAATTTTAATTCCATATCTTCTAATACAATAACAAAAAATAAAAAGGATTTGTTTATTTATTTTTTTTTTTTATTAATTAAGAGTCCAACGATGTTAACCACGGGCTCACCACCCAATGTCGTCAACAGTCGAAGTAATAACAATACGACAGCTACTAATGGTTCAACAACGACTCTTCTTACAAAAAACAATCTTTTCGCTTTTCATCATCTTCAACAGCATCTTGATGCTGCATCAACCAATTCGGTATGAATATTATATACACATTTATATAGAAAAATGACTTCCGGCCACATGCTTACATGTAGGCACTATTATTTAAATCATTCTTATTCTTTGCGAATTCGTATGCCATTCATCCTCTATAACCTCGTTTTTTTTTCTTTCAACACCCTAATTGGATGAGTATGTGTTTGGTGGAGAAAAATAGATAAGGAAGAATAGAAAGACGACGAATATATGAAAAAAAAAAGAGTTCGGTCAACGCACAACAGGCGTGCTTGTAAAATTGATTGATTGATTGATTGAAGAGAACAGCTGAGTGTAAAGAAAGCATCTGTTTAACTGTATCAATGTTGTTTAGCGAGAAGAAATCGCAATTAGTCGGTCACTCACTCGTCTGAACAGTCTCTTTGTTCTATTTGTCTTGGGATCGACCGTAAAAAAGTAACAAAACGGAAGTGATCGTATAACAACAGACAATATCATTGTCTTACTATCTTTCTCAAGATCAAACTCGTTAATGAAACAAGTCAAATAGACAGGAGGAGAAATAGGAATATCTTTTGATCTTAAACAAAAAAAACAAACGACAACAATGTCCAATGTTTATTATGAATGAATAATGATCAAACTGAAAAACATTAAAAACAAAAAGAAACAGAACACTTAGATATTACAACTATACAATACACAAAGTACAAATTTATTTCTCGAAAATTTGTTGGCATGTATATATAAACGTCTGATAGATGATAACGAGCGTACGTGTTATTTGGTTGGTTAACAAAGAAAACGAGCACGATATCTATATATTAGGAGAGAAAGAAAAATACAAGAAATGCAGTGGCAATGTCGAATATTCAACTAATGTATGTTGGGAACGATGATGGATGAAGAAGGAGAGATACAGAAGAAAAAACGTACAGCTACTACCATCATTGCTATTTTCTTTTCTATAAATTTCTCTCTCTCTTCCAGACGCTTAATTATACATTGCTCATCTCTTGCTATTTGGTTGGCAGATAGATTAGATCGAAGAATAGCATCTCTTTCTCTTGTTTTTCTCCTAACAGTTGTTTATATTCGTTCTCTTGCCATTAATGAACGAGAACGTTGACCGAATTTTTTTCTTTTCTGATGCTGTTTGGGTATTGATGGTACTACTACTATCTTTTTTCTCTCATTCTATTTTCCTAATATAGATCGTCTTGCTTTTTTTCTTCTTCTTTTTCTTCTCTCTCTCTCTCTATCTTTTCATACTTCTCTGTTAGCAATGAGAAATATAAGAATATTCTTCTGTTGATCTTTATACGAGAATTTCCTTGGTGCTATATACAATTATACAACGATGCTTTATTCATTTTTGCCATCAGATAATTATTTGGCATTAAATGTAAGTTTCATTTTTTTTTTTCAAAAACTTAACGAAGAAGAATTTCTTTTCGCTTGAAAAAATTTCTTTAACATGCAAATTAAGAAGAAGAAGAAGAAAAAAAAAAGAAAGATCAAGTTTCCGGAAGCATGTTAACTTAAAGATTAGATTTGCATAGTAATTGATTTGATAGAAAATATTTAAAACTTTTTCTTTTGTTTTTGATTTAGCCATTGGTACCAACATTATTAGCTGCTGCAGCTGCATCATCTTCATCTTCAAATTCAACATCAACAACAAATAACAATGGTACAACAACAACATCAACGAATGCTAATCATTCTCATGTAGTTCATCCATCGTCTTATGTGACATCTTCATCTTCAACAGATTCTTCATCTAGTCAACATCATCCATATGCATATACTAGTATGTTAGCAACAACAACGAATAAAATTTCGAATGCAACAACAAATCTTATTGTTGATCCAATTTCACATTTACCAGAACTCATTAATGTACCATCATCTTCATCAATTATTGAAGCAACTACAACGAATAGTAATACACAACAAATACCTTCGAATGAATTAATAAATAATGAAAATGTATGTTAGATGAATTTTGTTTTTTTTCGAAGAAAAATATTTAATTGTGTTTTATTTTTATGAAATTAAAAGGCTCAATCAAATTCTTCATTATCTCATTCACCACAATCAACAAATACAATTATACAAAATGGAACATCATCAACAAATAGTAGTACAACATCATCAGGAACAATACAAAAACGTTTACATGTATCAAATATTCCATTTCGATTTCGAGATGATGATCTTAAAGCTATGTTTGAAGTTAGTAAAAATAGAATAAAAATTATATATATATATATAAATTTAAAATATTATTTTTTAGCAATTTGGTGAAATTATTGATACAGAAATTATTTTCAATGAACGAGGATCAAAAGTATGTTATAGAATGTTTATATATGAAAATTTTATTTTATAAAAAATGTTCTAAAATAACTGAAATAGTATTCTTTTCATCAAATATATTCGTTGAAGTCTACAGATTATATGCATATTAGAAAAACAAAATGTTCTGTATTCGTCATAGTGACACAAACTTATTGTATTAATGATAAATTATGAATCATAAGCAATAATAATTTATAGTTTTCAATAGTCAAAAGAATAGAATAGAATGAATCAAGCTTTCGAATATTCTTATTATATTTTTCATGTAACTTCTAAATTGCTAAAGAATATTTAAGTCAATTAGTATAAAAATGGTCGCTATATAAGACGTAGAAAGTTACGTTGGTTTCATTTTTATTGCGTTTCCAAATTACAAATACTTTTTAATTATCAAATAATCAATTGATTTAATTAGAATAAAATATTTACAGAATTCTTGAATGTGAAAGTGTAGATAATCTCTGGACACTTTTACTCTGACATATATGCTACAATTTGGATAACATAGTTTGAATATTCTCTGGTCATTTGAGATAAGAATTATGATTTTTCCCACGTGATTTGCAAATGTAGACGGAAACGAGGGAATTGTTCTAATTTTCACGTCCTGATCTCATATAGATAATTATTAAATGAAATTATCTTTTCAACTCTTTCATTTATTGACGAAATAAAGTTTATGTATATAATTTTTATTCTTACATTTCTAAATTTATATTAACAACAGAACAGAATTCATAATCAAATATTGCAATAAGTAATTAATTAAAGTGTTTAAAGTTAAGAAGAAAAAAAATGAAAAAAGAATAACATAACTTTCTGCATTCTATTTTGCGAATATTTAATCGCTAATTAGCTTAGTTATTGTTTACAATTTGAAAGTATCCGTTCTTTATGAAAATGTTATCATTTTTATAGAAAAAAGATAGAATTGATCGTTTGAACTTCGTTAACTTTTTTTTTTTGAAGATTCTTCTAAAGAGATTTAAGATATGACGATACACATAATAAATTATTTTCATGTATTTACTTACTTAGTATTGTTTCTCCCTTATACTATTTATTAAGTTAAATTTGAATAAATAATTTTTTTTTTATTTTCTAATTCTTTAATTTTAGGGTTTTGGTTTTGTAACATTTGCGTCTAGTGATGATGCTGATGCAGCTCGTGAAAAATTACATGGAGCTGTTGTTGAAGGACGTAAAATTGAAGTATGTATATGAAAAACTAACTTATCTCTAAATCCATGTTAAATAATTTAAAAAAAAACAAGAACTCTTCTTCTAGTTCTCTCTCGCATAACTTGCGACTCAATGTTAACAGCAGAAATCGCTACAGCAATAGGAGGTAGACATAACGATAAAAGGCAACCAAATATATTTCTATCTATTTCTTATTCCAAACAACTGTTTTCGTTGCATGCCTGTTCGTGGCTGCTTGTTCGTCTCTTTCAACATTGATCCATTGTTTTTATTTTCTTATGTTTTTTTATTATTATTGATTAGTCAGATAAATGAACAATAATTTCGGGGGCATGATGAAATTCAATCACATTTTATACATTTATATACACATCAAGTGCAAGTTTAACCTTAGAATTATATTTAGATTATATACTTAGCTAAATTTGTGTCCTATATGTTGTTGTCTGTTGCCTATCAGTTTTGACATTTTTCGCTGCTCTATCCCATCTTTTTTTACCTATATTCAAACTAAAAAAAAAAAAAAAACGAAATATTAGATTCGTATATTTAAATTTAAAAAAAAATATATTAATTTTCAGCGCATGATGATATAATGTATGCATGGTTGTTCGTTATTTAGCAAATAAAATAAGAATTAATTGATAAATAAATGCGAACGAAATCTTGAACGAAAGATGAGATATTCGCTCGCATGTATGTCTCATTTATCACCATGCACACAATTCGTTTACTTATTTCTGATGATTAATATTTAAATCAAATCGAAGAAAAATTCTAATTAATAATTTTTTTATTTATTTATTTATTTGTCGTAGTAGAAAATGCACATTTTTTACACATTACACCTTATATTTGAATGGCTCGAACGTTCGATCTCGCGAGATTTCGTTGTTTACTCTTTGCTTTTTGTCGGTGGATGTCTGGCTCTTTTTCTTTTCATTTTCTTTACTTTATTTCATGTTTAGTACTTAGTTATCTATAAAATTTTATTGTATTAGGTCAATATGGCAACGGCTCGATCACAGCCAAAGCCAAAACCAATTGTAGCAAATCCATTTGGTTAGTTTGAGATTAAAATTTATTAATTTTATGGTGTACGAATTCTATTGAAATTTAGGTATAATGATGAATGCACGACAACGTCCAACATTAATTCAAGCTACCCGTGCAGCTACTGCATTTACAACTGGACTTACTTTACCCGGTGGATATACGTATGTTATTGATTTTATAATGTAAGATTAATTTTAAAAAAATTTTTCTGTTTTCTTTTAAGGATTTATCCTGATCAATTAGCTGCTTTAAGTGGTTTAGCAGCATATCCAATTGCTGCTCAACCACAACCTAGTGTTCGATATATAACAACAAGTGCACCACATGGCCTTTCTACAACAGGGCAACCGACTGGAACTTATACAATTGGGTAAGATAAAATTCTATTAAGAAAAAAACTGTTAGCATAATACATTTTGGATTTAAATGTATAATACAATGAGATTTAGTAATATTTGCTGCGATTAGTCGAATTACTACATGCTATTAATGTGTGTTTCTGAGAAAGAAATTGTTTTTAGTAGGACAAAAAGAAGTAGTAGAACTTTTTTACTGCAGAATTTAACTTAATTATATAATGAATTCCACAGTAGATTATAGTTTCGTATTTCAAAGAATTAGAATGAAAAATATTAGTTTCTTTGTAATATTTTTTTATTAAATTTAACTGAAGTCAAGATTGCAAGTTTTTCGTCTTCGATAAACTAATTCTTTTCATCATCACATAGTGTTGAAATGGAAGATTATATTTTTGACTAAGATAACAATTACTGTTAATTGATAGTTTTTCTATTGCATTTTTTGTTGTTGTTCTTAACATGATATGAAAATTCGATCATAGTCATCATAACGAAATTTTCAATAGTCGAAGATTTACAAGAATTCTTTTAGTAAAAAGTCTTGCGAGAAGAATTATATAAGGAGTCTTTGAAAAGTAAATTTAAATATATCATCACTTTTCTAGTGTATTGCCAATGGGTAATGGTGTAGGTGCACCAACAGGATATATAATTAATGGACCGCCGACAACAAATATGGCTTCAGCTGCTGCTCAAATTGGGTAAGCTAAAAAGAATTCTTTTTCTTTTCGTAATGTTTGATGTATGAGTATGTGTTGTGTGCCCATGTGGGTTTTTCGTATGATCTTATCCTTCATTCTTAGTCCATTAAATCCCTCAGCAGCAGTTGGATCATCATTACCAGTTTATCGAACCATGTTTTCTTCTACTCCTGCTCAGCTGGTATGCTCCTTTGATACACAAATCGGACTTGATATAATGAGACAAAAAAATTATCGTTTTTTTTAAATTAGTTGAGCATGATGCATGAGTTTGTTGAAATCGATTGTAACAAAAAAGTTATATATACATATGCATATATATGTATATACATGTATATAGGTGCATGCTTGATCGATATGTCTTCTATTAGCTGTTCAGCTTCAAATCCATTTGTTGCTTGCTATTTATTCTTAGGAAATTTAATTATATTTCAGGCATGCTTATCAAGAAACTGCATATATCACGGCAGCGCCAACTGGAACCATCGGTCCTATCACCGTAAGTTTATATCATATAATAATAAGTATAAATTATTTTGCATAATTAGGGTATGCGTAACAATGTTCGCTATGCACCTTATTAATCCGTTGATGCCATATCGTTGGTTTTCTTCTGATCGTCGAACAGTAACTACATCGATTGTTTTATAAGAAAAAATTCAAGCAAATTGTCCGTTTCTTTGTTTTTTGCTATATTCATTTTCATCTGATGTATATAAATGTGCTTCCCGTTCTTTGCTACTATATGCACACAGTGAAGATCAATTATTGTTTATCTATTACTGATAATTAAAACCAACAAATAATGATGATCATCATTTTTCTTTCTCGATTGCTCAATTTGTGCAATGCTTTCTTCTTTTTGTTTTATTTCTATATTTGTGTGATCTTGCATTTATTTATCATCGATCAAAAAAGAAAACAACAAACCGTGTGTATGTTTTTGTGGTGCTATTGATCCTTTTTTTTTTCATGTATTGAACAAAGAATAATCCGAGCTTTTAGAAAAACCTAACGAAGAAGAGTCATTGCCGAGTGGATGAAGATTTACCTTATTTTGTGTCTGTTTCTTTGTTTTTGTTTTTGTTGTTGTTGTTGTTATCATTAATATTAGTTCGCCTATAACTTGCCACTCTTTGCCAAGATATTGGCAGACTAAAAGTCTTCTGAATTTTTTTGTTAAATGAACTTTTTTCTTGTGCGATTATGCTCGATTATATGAAAAACGTTTTTTTACATAAATATATATATATATATGCATATATTTCTATTATTGTTTTATTCTTGATGACCTAGACAAGTTTCTTTATTTTCAAACAAATTTGAAACAATGTTATGGAGCTTAACCATAGTACATACTAAATTTTTCTAGGTTTGGATATAAAAATAAAATATTTTGAAAGATTTTTCGAAAGATATGCTTTTGTGCACTGGAAGGAAATTAATAGTGTAATTCAATGTGGATCATTTAGTGGTGTATCATATCGTAAAAATGTCTAATATTCAATCTATATTCCTTTTTTCTAAAACAATCTCATAAAAGAGATCGAGTGAATATAAGGTTGTGTGTTGATTTCTATAAACGACTTGCAGTGTCTAGAATAAAATGAAATTATGTCCAACATTAAGTATATTTTAGAGTGCTGCGTAGATTCAACTTTTCGAAACCCGAAGACAACCCTATCCCAGAAATGTTGTCACTTGACTTATTTTAAGAGAAAATTGATTAAATATTTCCATTTAAATGATAAAGAAGAGTTATTGTAAAATATGAATCAAATGTGAAGCAGTTTTTCCAGTGATCACCCGTCACATCAATCATTTTGATGTTATTGAAATGTTTAGAAAGAGCTGAATAAATTCTTTTGAATAAAAAAAAGTACAGTAGTAAGATGCTAATAAAGAAAATCGTCATTCATACTTCTAGCTAATACTTGTCCTCGACGTGAAATAGTTGTTGGATCTTGATTAATTGAGGAAACATCAATTACTGATGCACTTTTTCGTTCAACATTAGTAAGTATTTTAACATAATAATTCAAAGTCTCTACTTGAAACTATTACATAAGATCTCATGCCATAACTACACTTGTTAGTACATGTATCAATAATAAGTCGTTTAAAATCTGAATACATATTACTATTCTTAATCAATATATTTTCGATTGTATACAGCGGAGAATCAATTTTAACCTTACACGAACATACATGATTTTTAAGCGTGCTTGAACCAGTATTGTTTTGGTTCATAGACGAGCAACTTCTTACATTGTACACATTATATATGATTAATGGTTTTATCATGAATATCTTTTATACGATTCAAAATTGTTCGACTATGGAGCGCTTAATTGAAGTTTCTCCAACGTCGTTTATTGTCCGCTTTCAATGACTTTTCGAAATTTTTCTTTTCAACTCATTTCCGAATGATAACAACAACAAAAGTATTAAAATGTAAAATAGAAAGATTTATTGTTTATGAACAAAAACATTTTGTATGTATTCATGTATTGTCTCGAACAGAAGCCATCGAATTTCTACTTCACTATTCGTTGTATGTAACATAGAAAAAAAAATAGACGATATGAGCATGTATTATGAGAAAAAGAAACCCGAGGAAAATCTGATAAATTTTTAAATTAAATTCGAATTCGCCCTTCGGTTGGGTTTGGTTACAAGACTCTAGTAACATTTCCTGACGAAGTTTGTCTATTTTATATTTGGGTGTAATGAGTTCTAATGGGTCACATCCTAAACTTTACCTTAACACATATTCATCGTTATTACAAATGCAATACTGCAGTTCTGTCATTCGCTCTCTTGAGATAATAGTGGTTAAACTTATTTTTCTTTTCTTATCGTTCGCAATATCACAATATTGTGTAATCGAATTTTTATCTCTTGGAAATGAATAAACGAATTATTGTCTTATTCATCTACAAACACCAGATTGCCAAATTCCTCGAGCAAATCAAATATGATGATCCAGTACTGTTGAAAAAAAAAGCAGCATCAATTTTCAGACGATTTCTCAACAAAATTACATATCAAACATCGATTTATCAAACCAACAGATAATGTCAATAATTCGAAATGATTTTACTTCAATTATTATTGAGTTCAACAACAGGACAACAAAACAGAATGTAAATTAATCGAAGAACTGATGAATGAATGAAAACAGCGACAATAAAAATACTAATATTATTGACAGATTCAAATTCCGAAAAATATCCTGTTTATTTTGCATGTGTGGTTCCCTAAACTCGAGATTTTATTTTATGAATCACAGTGATCTAATAAAATCGATAATATTGAATTTTTAGTGAATATTCCAACAATTTTACCCGATTTATATGCACTAGTCATGAAAGATTTTCAACCAACCGGGGAGAAAGCTGAAAGAGTCGATAATATATATATATATATATGTATACAACATATATCACTGCAAAACTAACTTTCTTCCCAAATCACAATGACAAACTGTTAAATGCTGTTCGAGTTGACTTTTTTCATCAATATATGCCACAATTTACTATTTCTAGGAGAAATAGAGTCAATGACGTAACCAGGATAGGACTACGGGGGGACTCAGCCCTATTATTCGTAGTTTCATCTCATTGACTGAGCTTTTAAATTAAAATAAATGAAAATAGTTCAAAAGATCTTAGTTTAAATCTTGTATTATTGAAATTAATAGAGAATCCTTTTTTATTTTTGAAACCAATAGATATTGAAAGCACTAATCTATTTTTATAGTGTTCCTTATGACTCATATCTCGCGAGAAAAACTAAGGATCCATTCAAATATTTTACAACAATATAGCTACAATTTATGAAACCTAGTACATCAAAATCAAAAATTATTGCGCCTTTATTTTCACCATTCACACTGAAAAATCAAAAGTTAAATGATCAAGAACCGTATTCCACATCTTTAGAAACATCAATACGGTTTGTTTTATCTGAAACATTACATCTGTTGTCTACAATCGATTCATTCAACAATGCACATACTGATACAACTACTATACAGGATGGATAAATAATAAATGGGATTTATCAATACTAAATAGTAAGGATTATAGAATCTTTTGAGTGTTGAATTCAGGAAAATTCGTATAATTTTAAGTCATATCAGTAAAGAACATTTCCTTTCATGAGGTAGTTCAAACTAGATCCGATATATAAAAGGATGAATATCAAAAAGTAATATTAGGTTTTTTAAAGATTTGATGAATATAATCAATATGACAACTATTAGAGTTTCTACAGCAGGAAGATGAGACCGATATGAATATAAAGTAATTTTCAAATAGGTCAGTGCTTGTTTCATATTTGTCAAAACAGATGAAATATTTTTTTTTCGAGTTTTTTCTTCATAAGTATTGTACTACATCTCTTATAGATATTTTCTTCAGCTTCATTTTTGAGTGTTGTTCCTATATTGCCAGGCCAAGTGTTCAGTACTTTGTGATATTCATCATTCTAAATAAGATCTAGTTTGAACTATCTCATGAAAGGACTTTTTCTCTACTCATATGGCGTAAAATTTTCAGGATTTTCTAAATTCGACACCGAGAAGTTGCCAAAATATTTACTATTTATTATTGATAAATCCTACTTTCGACACGCTTCAATTCGGTAACAAGTTTGTTGTTGGTTCTATTTGAAATCATAGTGTTACTTCCTGGGAAAGCATTTTTATCCACCTTGTAAAACATTCAGCCTTTACTCTGTCTTTATACTTATTTAGCCTGAAAATCACCTTTTTCACTGTTTGTATTAATGAAAAACGTAAGATTAAAAGAAGAACAGTACATAAACGAAAGTAGTCATCACTATTGTTTGTATCACTGATTAGTAATGGCTCTAGTATATCACAGAGACTTCTTAAAGATTATCAGAAAAGTTCGACTTTGGCAAATGGAAGTAAATGAAATATTCTTAAGCAGTTTATCTAAGGTCAAAATAGGTAGCGTGTTCGCTTTAACAGCAACTTTTTCGCTGAACGTTCGTTTTACTAACATGGTACATAAAGTAAACGTTCGATATAACGCATTTTATATCGCTGACTACTCAATTATTATGGTAGCTACGTAGAAACTTTTTTCTTATATGAATCTAAGCAGAATTTAATTCTCTTCTCTTTGGTATTAAAGTGAAAATTGTACATCGTAAAATAACAGCGATACAGCTGATGAAATACAAACACCACTCAAAACCGTTCGCTTGACAAATATTGCTGTGATACTGCATATTCTATTCATTCTATGAATTCATACCTTACTCACTATCATATAATTTTTCGACATTTTTCTACTATTTTCTCATTGCATTTGATTGATCCTGAATTTAGCGTCGTTACATTATGCAATACGGTTAGTTAGAGGTAGAAGGTGTTGGGTTAACATTAGTGTTAGAAAAATATTAATATCGTATATTAGAATTTTAATAAAAGATTTAAAAACTTGAGCATTAGTAATAATGTGATAAATTATAACCATGAAATAGACAATAATTAACAGAATAGATGTTACATACATATATTGAATGAATAGTTAATCGTTTCAAAATGTGA